TGGCCGTTAGATCGACGACGTACTGTCCTCACTGTACCAACATGGGTCTTTTCAGCATGCTTTGTCCTCACTCGCACGCTCCCCGAGAAAACTTCCCAGGGGGGTCACCCATCATAGAATTGCTCCAAGCCAAGCACGCTTAACTGTGGAGTTTCCAACGATGGATTTCCGGAAAAGAAGGTGCACCTTGTTGGTATGAGTAGTACCTATCAAATCTCTTAAACTTTCTTGGTCTGGGGTATTACACTATAACTCACCAGTTACACCTTACTATAATTCGGTTCTACCTTTGAAGGAACATCAGTTCTAACAATTATATCGCCGTCTAACGAAATGACTGGAAATGTTTCAAAAAAGTAGGCATACAACGTATAGGCCCAAAAATTATTTCACAAAATAATCCATCTTTTTCCATTTATTGGTTTATTCCATATATAAAGTTTCACATGGTAAAAGAAACTGTTGAAATTTATTTCTAGGAGATAAATTAAATAGATGTGCACTAATGGACATTTTTATTCTTGGGTGAACTAATCCCTAATGGAGGGGTCCAAGTACAAAAATCCAAGAAGCATGCACTGAATTAAAATGAAAGTTAAAAAGCGTGTCAATGAAAATAACTCGATTAGAAAAGCATCCAGGTGATGACAGAAACTGTTCCAAAGAAAGTAAATGCAGCAATTGTCAGTAAGTAATCAAAATTGGACAGTGAGTACACGAGCCAGTGATCTAAAATCCAGAAGGTATCTGAGGTGGCCGGGTGCTAGTTGCCACACAACTGTTAATTGACAACCATGTAGATGACTGCTGACTTATAGGCCCCCTATTAGATACACTTATTCTAGAAGAGATAAGAAGACTTGCACACCAACTGGCGGGAAGCAGCAAAAGATTTCTACAACGGATTCTGCTAGCTAAAACAGAATTAGTTGACAGAGGCTTATATAAGGAAATAAGAGGGACCATTGTAGACAGGAAGAATTTGAGTAATATAGAGAGGAGAGGAATTGCCCCTCTCAAATGGCTATGTAACCACTTCATTTTTTCTGTAATCACTTGTTCTATCAATCACAGTATCAGTTTCTCTCTATAAACTATCATTTCTCACATTACCTGTTACATTTTCCTTGTGTACTTGTTCTAACCCCTTGAATCCTATCACTGCCATGCAGTGAAAGTAACTCTGTCATTAGGCACATCACCAATTGATGGGTATCATTTCAACACCATAAGCATCATTAGCCTAATTAAGCACCATGAATACACAGCATATGTGCATTGCAAAAAGCATACACACTCTCCTATTGCACAATGTTAGGGGGGCTAGCAAACCTAATATCTAAAAAATGGCTTTAGCTACCATATGAATGAGATGATACAAAACGAGAGGTAAATTCTGGGGAACACCAAGACCTAAATTTTCCATATGAACAACATACCCAATTATAAAACCTACTAACCAAATTGTGTTTCTGTTTATAACTGTACAGAAGCAACCATAAAATAAAAAGACTCACCACAGCAGCGCACTGTAAAAAAAGCCAGTCATGAGGGCAGTTATCCAGCAGATGTATATTGTCCTTTGGTTCTGCCACTGAAAAGAAGCATTAGTTTAATAAACACAGAATCCTTTGGTATGAGCTTACCTACAAAAAAGGACGTGTTGCAACAAAGGTAGTAAATAGAATAAGTCGTCAAGTAAAAATAACTTACAGTTACCAAGACCACCCCAGCCTTTGTTAATGATTCCCCTTTGTTCCGTTATTTCTAACGCTTCAACAATTATTTGTGTCATTTTCTCGGGATCTTGAACAGGCTGAGATGGAAGAAATAAGTTGAAGATGATAAATATGTTCCAAGAAAGATCAAGTTAACAAAGGCCAAAAAGAATGAAAACCATTACAATGTTAAAAGCATACACGTTATGGAAGATGAAGAATGTACACACAAAAGAAGCATGTATCAGGACAAACCAACAAAAGATTTCTACTTTATGGACATGCTTGTTAGTCAAGCTGTAAAAGTAATTAAACAAGATTCTGATAAAGACTGCATAAATTTCCAAAAATATAAAAGAGAGAATAAAAACAGATATTTTGACAAAAATATATCACATTGAATAGATACTCAACATAATGAAATTGTTGCCTACATATGCATGCAAAACAATGACAACCAGCATTGCTTTTAATAATAGAGTCTAATTTTGCAACAGTGAATTAGATTCTCCAACTTCAACAACACGTAAAGATCACATATGAATACATTGTCAATATACATTATACAACATTTAATCAGAGGTCAAGCTTCCAGGACATAAGACAAACATCAAGTCAATTCTCAAACTGAATCTCCAATAAGTGCATTCAAACGGCCACAAGGAAATGAATTTGCTATTCACGTTGATTATTTTATATACAGCACAAGAAAAGTAGCATACAAGGTTAACAAAGAAAGCAGAAGTAGACTATTTAGTGGATTTTCCTTTATTTAGGGCTTGGGGATTATTGATGAGAATGATATTAGGGAGTTCTGGAAACTCACAAGACTACCAAACCCAACATAGATAGGCTTTGGACCCGCTTTAAGCCAGTTTGCAAGTGACTCCGGTGGTTCATAATTTGTCGCAAGATCAAGGAAGCAGAATCCAACCACATCAACCTTAGGTCCCCAATCTGCAAAACAAGATATTGTTATAGAGCTCAAACCGGTAACCCAGTAAACATAGTCATTCCACCTAACTATAGTCATGGCAAATAAATTAGAACTCACAAGCTTTAAAATTGAAAGGTAACTTTATCATGGCACTAGTACGCAATTCTTCTGAAATAAGACAACTGTAATAAGATAAATAAATGTAATTCATAGCATGGCCACCTTTTGGTTTAGGAACGAGATGAGGACTCCATATATATCCATGTGGAATATCCGACTCAGACCCTTGCGAACCACTCAAATATGTGACTGGCCGCAGCTTAAGCTTCTTTTTTCTAACATCGTTTATCATGTCCCGTATTCCTAGCCAAATCAAGGAGTCGACAATCTGATATGATAGCTGCAAAATCATGCAAGAAAGAAATCTCATATGGTAAATAGTTGTTTTATCAAACTTTATGAGAGAGAGAGAGAGAGAGATGTGATCAATTCCAGGCAGAGGGGCGAAACGAATTGTCCTAACAATGTAAAATTCCAAGATAAAAATTACAAGAAAATGTACAAGGCTTAATCGAACTCACCCTATATCCAGCTGGTTGCTTAACACGGGACAAAGGATGAGGAAATTCACTGGTTGGCCTGGAAGAAAGAATGAGAATCACGGAATCAATATGGTTAAAGATTTAAGACAAGAAGTTGGTTAACATGAATTGGAAATTAGTAAAAAATCACTAAATTTCGTGTCTTAGCTAAAGTAACTACAAAGAAAAATATGTGCCTCCGTTTGGAAAGAATTTATAAACAGTTTAATTTATAAATAGATTAGAAATAAGTGGTGGTTAAGTGGATAGTACTTGCCGGGTCCATTGGAATGTGTGGTTGAAAATGAAGTTTGACCATTTATAAATTGATTTATAAAGTTTGCCAAACGGAGGCTACATCTAAGGATCAAAAGGTATGGACAAGACTTACGTCCATGGCATTGTGAAAAATATATGAATTGGTATATTCAGTGCTTCTGCAACATGTGTATGCCCTGAAATGGTACTACAGGAGAGAAATTAGCACTGTTCTTTTGTCAGGAAGCATGTACAATTGGACCTTACCACAAGAGCATTAACAAAACATCAATGGATGACCTTCCACCACACCAACCTTACTTGAACTGAGTCTTTATTAAATATAAATAAGAGCAGATAGGTAATTCAGCAACTTGACGAGCATTTTTTGTAAATTACAAATGTGCAACACAAGCTTAGAGAACACTGAGGCCATAAAACCATAATTTTTTAAACCTACAATTGAAACTAATTGATTTCAATTGACGCTTCATCACTCTGATTGATTTCAATGGACAAGTACATTTGAGATTTCAATCGCGTAATGTAACTTCGATGCACAACAATGATAAAGGACCATCGCTCCTCATAGGTTCCATTTTAAAATATCTTTATGCTAATTTGCTTGGGTCAAATATATACAACTATGTACGTAATTCTTAGAATTGTGCATCCTTACACATTCAAGTGAAAAAAAAAAATCGTTGCTTGATTTAGCAAAGAAATTAAAATGCACATCAAGTTCAAGAATTAAATTCAACTAGCATGAAGCCATACATCTGAAGTGGCTAAGAACTTGGTTTGTGGTTAAATGCTTATTACTCGGGGTTACAAGACATGCACATCTTCATTCCCAAGACTAAATTTGAGGGTTCCTGTTTCAAGTGTGGCTGGCTCTTCCAGAAACCATGGACAAGCAAAAAATGTTTACACGGTTGCTGTATTGCCATGAGTTTATGCTTAAATGATTTCTCACCGGTAGCAAGGAATATCTCATCTCCACTCAATCTAAGTGGCAAACAGAGGAGGACAGAAAAATAACTTTCCTCATGCTGAGTTAGAATGAGGAAACTTGCACTTTTGGTTGTCGAGAGCATTGAAATTTTTTCTGTCAATATCTAAGTTGAACTTATTAATGATTAGAAACTTCAATGCTGCTAAAAGAATAGGAGATTGCAGCATTATGGTTTCAATTTATATGCGGTACAGTAGGAACCAAAACCATGTTGTGACACACCCACTCACATGAAATGTCAATTAAGAAAACGTGTGAAGAATGTGCTTCATGTTGACCCTTTGTCCAAACCAATGTCTACTTTTGAATCTATGAAAGCTAGAGAGTTTGATTATGCACACAGTTCGTGATTGATTTTTAATATATGTATTCTGGCATAGATTCTTTACAAAATGGAAATTCAACAAATTCAAGCATCATGCGCAGTGAGAATCTTCCATGGAAGAACAAACACACAAAAAGAGAAAATCCAGGGGAGGGGAAGATGAAAAGCTTAAAGTGAAGTAGACTTTTATTAATATTCTCATACAGTAAAAGGGAAAACATGTTATGACATACCATCCACATGAACTTCCAATTAAAGAAAACAAGCATGAAGAAAATATACTTTTATAGTCTCTTCATCCCACTTAACTTTAATCCGTAATAGCTAGATTGCACAACTCTTTAAGGACAGTTCGTACTAGTCTTTAATATGTATTCTAGGAAAAAATAATAACAGCAAGTTGAACCATATTTCCAATAAATTTGGAGTCAGCTACATGAATCTTTTTAACCATTACATTTGTTCCAACTTCCAAAGCTGTCTCTTCTAACTCGTCTTTTGAAATCAATCGTTTTGCAACCACCTCAGGCCATGTAAATTTCCTTACAGTTCTCTATGCTAACTTGTTCTACTAGGATTGCATACAAGACTAGCCTCAACCATCTTTAAGTAATCCTCGCTTTTAGTTTATCCTTAATTGTTCTCTCTGACTCTGGTCATATATCTTATTTGTCTATTTTGGTGTGTGTGCATACTTAACATTCTCATACTTATTAAATCAATCTTGTAAATTTTGTTTACTAATGGTCCAATGCTCATTCGTCAGTACCATAATCATTGTTGTCTAGTAGCCATTACAAAGCTTTCCTTTTTGTGTAGATATCGCCGTTGCATATGACCCCTCTTTTCTTTTTTCATCCAACCTTTTGTAATCACATTCATCATCTCCTCTTTAAGTCATACCTTACAGAAAAAAAAATGTATGGGCAGAGGGTGGGGCGGGTAGGGTATCTAGAGCAGTCACTCTTTAGGACTTCATGATACTCTAGTTTGGCACCACCATCATCCTTATTATCATAGCTAAAAAGACACTCTTATGTGTTCCGTCCTAATTCTACTATGCCTAAACACTCAGATTACCAAGTGGTCTTCCATAGTTGAAAATATATCCCAAGAAACACCTCTTCAAAATTCCAAATTCAACAGCTTGTAGCAGCCAGCTAGCCAATTTATCGTTCTATCAAAGGGATAAGGAAATTCACATTTTTAACAAGGAAAAGTTAGAGACCTCGAATCCCAAGTGCTGACAACCTAAATTACAAGATAGCAACCATGAAATCAACTAAAATAAAGAAGTGTGAAACAAAGTAGAAGCAAAAAAGTATCCATAAGAGACAATCTAACCGTATGCCGGGGGATTGGCTATAATTGCATCAGCTTTGAAAGGAATCCCAGAATCAAGATCAGGCTCCTTGCATGCTGGAAGCAGAGAATATATTATTTCCTTCATCTGATTTCTTTGTATAGGTATTTCTGAAGGGCCTGATGGCAAAAACCCTTTGTTTTTAACCATGTCTGCAGAAAAAAATAAAATTAAGTCGTTAATGAATTGATTGATTCATTAGTGATCAGTAATTACCCAGTAAATAAATGTCCAGATTTGGCAACTAGATCAAAACATAACTATATGAAATAAATTGATAAAAGATTTGGGATCAACTCGTAATATCCTTGAAGCAATTCTCCACTGTCAACACAAAAGACCAAATGAAGTGACACATACAGTGTCTAGGATCAGAGTGAAACAGGTCTCAATTAAAATGTTACAATACAATGAAACATTTCAAGGCACATAGAAACTAACTTTAATATGTTCGAACAGGAAAAGATGGATGCCGTTCCTCAGAAAAAAAATGTTGGGACCCAGAATAACATCACTCCACAAGATAATTTAGGAGCAATAAGACAATAAAAGGAAGTGTCCGCAGTGAAGAGATAATAATTTGATATCTTTATTCTATTCATAGAAGAATATACATATATATACAGATTGAGAAATCTAAATTAGGAAGAAGGAAACCCTATAATTAAGTCAATCCCTATAATTAAGCCTCTATATAATTATTTACACTAACAGTGTCAATAACCAGTCACCAAGAATTTTGGATACTGCTTGGCATATAAAATTGCTTCAAAATTCCAGATATTTATGAAGGTAAGACAAATGAGAAGCATTAGTCATGCTGCAAAACTACACATGTAGATGATCTAAATTAAGGAATTTAGTTCATGTAGATAAAGATAGTGCTAATCTTAATGGAAAACGTTTTGCCTAGAAAAGGAAAGATTGCATTTCATTGTGGAAAATAATCCAATCACATAACAGGAGAATGACAACATATTGCCTAGAAAAGGAAAAATTGCATTTCACTGTGGAAAATAATCCATGACAGAACAGCAGATGATACCAGATCATAATAATCTTTCTGTCTTTTAGCATTTTGTCTGTCCTCTGCAGTTATGTGTGTTGTATGATATTCAGAAGAACTTTTAGTTGAGAAGATTAGGAAAAAGATCGATAAATCAGCAAAAACCTTTGAAGAACTCATAAACAGATGCAAATCCAAAACCAAGACTAATTACTATATTTGAATAAGTCTATCCTCACACAGTTGTTAAAAGCTAGTCTAAGCACAATATGCAGAGATGTGTATTCCCAAGGCATTCCTCAAGTGTTGACACATAGCACTCCCAGTAAATGTAAAATTTCAGAAAAGTGTGAGACACAGAAAATTAAAAACACAATAACTATGCAATTTTTTGAATTTTTGGGCCTTTTATCCTTTCGATCTGAACCACTAATTTTAGAGTGTGTTTGGTAGAGATTAAAATCAGATTAACATTGAAAAACTAGCTGTTATTGTTGACTTTTATTAGACGAGTGAGACCAAATAACAGCTATATTTTCAATTTTAATTGGATTTGTAGTGTTACCAAACAAGCTCTTATTTTAGTTTGTCAAGTCTTGCTGACTATTTGACTTGCTAAATTTGAATTAGTTACTGAGCCCCTGTTTGGTGCACGTTTTGGGGGCAAGAATGCATTTTTTGTTGTTAATGTAAGGGGGAATATATGGTTGAAAAAAAAGGGAGAAGTTATTGATATGATGAAAAATATTATTTTATTGAAAAATGTGTGGTTAAAAATGAGTAGAAGAACGAGAATGAAAAAAATAATGTGGACCAAATAGGGGTTGAATTATATTGAAGGCCTTAAAATGAATTCAATTCAGTGCTGATTTTCTCAAATGAGTTGAAATGAACTGATTTAACATTAATAGAAGTATTGCAATTTTTTAATATTTCTGAACATGTTATGCATGTAAAGAAAATTTCATTTAGAGTATAATATGTGCTTTGTTTCAATGGTACACCTTGCTTTTGGCTTTATCCTTAGAACCAAAGGGCCTTCAGTGCCTTGATACTCTTTGCTAAAGTGAGAACTATGGCAAGACATATAAATTTATCTTTCCTTATCTTGTCTTCAATGCTATATTTTGTTGACAAGCATGCAATACATTCAAAAACTTTTCCACCATTATATAAGAGCAGCAGTGGGCAGCACAGTTTTAGTTGAAGACAGCTAACACAATATACCAAAGTTTAGTAGAGGGCAGCACAATTTGAGTTGAAGACAGCTAAACGATATAACAAAGTTTGTTTAGTTCCAAGAACAACATATTAACTCATTAATCATAGTCAAAACAAAACATGACATCACAAAGTCGGTTCCAAGAAAAATATGAGCAACAAAAACATACATCCAGCAAGAACTTTGGGATCTCCACCAAGAGGATAGAATTCCAACCCAGCAGTCAAAACAAACTCTTTGAAATTTGAATGAGTTGCCAATCTAACACGATGACCGTAATCCTGCACCGAACCATTCTTATCAACAATATAACATAGACCCAAAAGATGAATATACTATAAAGCAGCAAATTTTCTATGCTCTTTCTTTATTTCCAGCCATCCAACAGCAAAAAATACAACTTTCTCACTTTCATTTGCCCTTGCTTGTTTCAGTCAATGTCATTCAAAATCATAAAAGTTAGTGCACATCAAATAATGCAAAACCAAATTCCATGAAGTAGGTAAATAACTAACAAATAAGTTCTAGGGGCAAACAAAGGTATATGGCCTCAGCTTCATAATCTCTCAATATAGGAAACTTATCTTCATAACCACCAAGCAACAGACTTAGGCCCAAAGACGTGTGAGGGAACAGTTCCGGAAAAATCATCCCTGTGAACCTGAATCTGACCTGAATCTGAAATTTTTATCAATCACCCTAACCACTTAGAAATTTCTAGGGCAGGACAAAACTCCTTAACCAAACTAAACTGAACCAAACCAGAATCGAACTGAATCAAACCGAATGGTTCTTCTTAAATTAAATACCTGAACGAGTATCTGAATCAAGAATCGACGAGTTTAGTTCGATTTTCGGTTCTAGTCCAATAATCAAATAAGAACTGAATCTCCATAATTTTTTTATATTAAATAAGCCAAGTTATTTTAATTTTTTTTCTAAAGGTCCGTTTGATTACAAGAATGAAATTTGGGTGAAAAGAAAATGAATTTCAGACAATTGAATTACCTAAAACTTCTTTTATTGGGAGTTGTCAATTAATTGTATTTGATTGTTATAATTTTTCATCTGAAAAATATTGAAATTTTGGATCATTTGATATTCATTTGGCTTTATTTTCCATTGAAATTGTCCATTAAAGGGGTAGAATTTGTTTCCATTGCCAAAAAAAAATAAAACATAAAAGTTGCCACAAAAAGGGTTTTCCTTAAAAACCAAGAAAATGTGAGCATGTGGGTGAAAGATGGAAAACCAATTCCATGGAAAATTTGGGCAATCAAACATGCAAAAAAAAAAAAGAATGGAAAATGGTTCTATAGAATTGAAGTGCAATCAAACAGAGCCTAAATAAATTTGTCAACTAATCAATTGAGCCCAAAAATATCATTTTCCTATTTCATTTGCCAACTTATTAATTTAACCCAAACCAAAATATGATTTTCTCATTTCTAATTTCCAGCCTAAGCCAACTTAATAAAATTGAACATGCCATTAATGGAGATTCTAACATTTTAAATTGGTGGAATATTAATAAATTAAAAAAAAAAAATTGTTGTTGTATATTAATTGTGTTTCTTTAATTATTCCTTGTAGGGTTTCTTAATGTGACAAATGAAGTAATGGATAATTAATTTAAATGGCCGGTAAGTACTAACAATATTTAAAAATATTTTATTTTATGCAGACTTGAAGGCTTGAAGCAAAGGAATCAATGAGATGAAATCATTGATATTGTAGTATTATTATTTATTTTTTGATAATTTGTAACATTGGTCAATGAACCTTAATCTGGAAGTTGTTATTTGTATAATTTTAAATTGGACAATGTTATTTTGTAAGAGCTAAAATTGACTATGTCATTAGTTGAATTAATATAGTGTTGTTGTAAAAATTAAAAAATTTAATTATGGTAAGGAACTTAGGAACCAAACCGAACGAAAATTAAATTTGGACCTGACGGTTGTACTTACTAAATACCTCAAAATTCAAGTTCGGTTCGGTTTTGACTTTGGACTTGACGGTTGTACTTACTAAATACCCGAAAATTCAAGTTCGGTTCGGTTTTGACCATGTCCTGCCCTTGCCGCGTGGCCCAGACCAAAACACTAATTGATGCAATGGTGTTAAGTACAACCATCAAAAATCATAATGGTAATTCCTAGTTATTCCTTTCTTGTTTCTTCCTTCTACCTTTTTCTCTTCTAGCAGAAAATGTGCATAAAGGATCAGGTTTCCAATAACTAGATAACGGCTTGTAGAAATGAAATCAAAAGTACCTGCATTTTTTTCCCAATTGCAACAAATGGTTGTACATCTCCGCGCGTCCCAACAATAAGCATTACAATCTGCAATGGGGGGATGTCTTCAAGCTCTGTTGCATCATGAGGTTCTTCATCAACTTCATTACATACATTTTCAGAACCAACTCCAAGAGTTTGAGCTTCAACATCTCCTGGAACTTCAAATTCTACAGTTCCATCATCTTTAACAGTGGCTATTCTCTTCAACAATTTGAGCTGCAGCGATTTAAATACTTAAAAGAAAATCCAATTCCACCTTGTATAAGAAGTAATACGCAATGAGATATTTGTAGATAATCCACTGAAATCAATTAGATATATGCAACTAAATTAGAAAGTACCTCCATGATGGAGTATAAGAACAAGTTTAAACATGTTATTGAAAGGTATCAGCTGATAATTTTTTATTTTTATTTTTTTAACATAAATACGAAGTCATGATGAAAAAGAAGATGAACATATGTTATTTGTCAGATCCTTGCCCATATTCATGGTCTTATAAAGAGCAAAGGTCAACAACCAAANGGGGGGGGGGGGGGGGGGGGGGGGGGGGGGGGGGGGGGGGGGGGGGGGGGGGGGGGGGGGGGGGGGGGGGGGGGGGGGGGGGGGGGGGGGGGGGGGGTGTACAAATATTCAATGTGTAAAAAGTGTCATGCTAGAAAAAGGTTTCTTTAGATAATTCCATTAGTGCAATGATTTGTCAGAAGGCTAGAATAATAAAACATACTAAGTAGGTATGGCAATTTGACCCAAAAAACTCGTGCCCTGTGGGGCCCCTCCCCGATTATATAGCTTTTAAAAAAATCAAATTTTGTTTAAAAACATCTTTGCCCAACATTTTTATGCCCCAACACAAATCGATTACCTAAGCCCATTAGACCATTTCCCAAATTACCCTAGAAAACATAACAACAATTATAAGTAGGGAAGTGACTGGCCTTAAGCGGGGATCAAGACAGGAAAATCTCTGGTGGGAGGGGTGCCCTTGCCACCCCCAGTAATAAGTTCAGGGAACTTGACATAAGACTGCTTAAGAAGTTCCTAAACTAATAAAGAAGAAAGTTCCTTTGTCCTAGTAGATAACCATTTCTGCTTTTCCAACAGCGATTTGCATCACGTTTCAAAGCAATGATACCAATCCAGACACGGGCAGATCTAGGATTGAGATATTTTGTTTCGGTAGGGGCAATATATTGGTAAAAATTAGTTAGAGATTAACAATTGCACTTCATAGAGTCATTAATAGTTAACAACTTTCAAAAGGAAACAACTTTAATGATGAAACGTGTCAGTGTTAAGTAATCAAGAGGACTTAATCAACATCCATAATACCTATCAAAAAAAAATCAACATCCATAATGACAAAGAGACATGAAATAAAAATAAAGTTGCCTTGATCATATCCATGATGATAAGCAAAAAAAAGTCCATATCAACCTCATTTTTTTCCGAAATATATTCTATAAACTTTCTTTTTTAACCATACTTTTTGAAACACTTCATATAATGAGTCTAATAGAATGGGCTAAGAAATAGCAGCCACCAGCCTGCGGGTTCCTAGCCCCCTTGTTCTTGAGACTCAAGTGAGTAAAGCGAGTCAAGCCTACCTCCACTTGCGGGTAAATTGGGGCACAAAAATTTACTACATTAATAATGAAACTTAACCTCAAACTACCACAATTTTGAAAGTTTTTGCGATTAAAACTTAGATATATCAAGAAAAAATAAGTTAAGAGAAATCGTCTAGTTAAAGGGGGGAAAAAAAGTTAAACGGAAGCAGAAATTTTATAACGTGTTTGATTAGGGAATGAAGCCCAATTTCATTTCCTAAGATAGTTCTTGGGGAAACAACCACAAATTCTAGTCCCCATCTTCGGAGATGAGGACCAACTGAATAAATTTTTTCAAACTCACGACAAAAATGAAATTTTCAAATATCTTTTGTGGAGGAGGTTGCCAACCCCCCTATTATATGTTCATATTTTTACCCTAGTATCTAGGGTTGTTCATCCGACCTAATATTGACAAAACCCCAATTCAATTATACTCAAATATTTTCACTAGAGATTGAAATGAAATCAATAGCACACATCTCGCAATTCCATTGATCAATAGAGAAACTAGTTCTAGCAATCTGTCCCCGTATCCATTACAAAATTAATTATGAAAATAAAAATCAAATTATGATGCATCTTTAATTGCTCTGTTACTTCTATTCCACTGCAGAATTTCAGAATCAGGCTGTATTGTGCAATACATTTTTTCATAACAAATCGCAGCAATGATATAAAAATTTTCAGGATACAAAGAGCGTGTTTGACTAAAATGCAAGTCAAGCATACTCTTAAATATTTTTTTCTCCAAACATGTTTATATAGGTTAATTTTTCTTACTTGTACATGAAACTAGAAAAATAAAAGTTACTATTTAGACATTATTTTCAAGCTCCATGAACGATTGTTTATTTTAAAGATTACTTTTAAGTAAAAAAATTTTGAGATTAGCCTAATAGGCAATTTAAGTTATCGTCCAGACAATGCAAAAGAAATAAGCAAAATATCAGCAATATCAAAAGCAATGACAACAGATATGCTAATAGGGCAAGGGAGGAAGAAGAGAAAAGGTCTAAATTTTTTACCTTCTGCTGGACAGAGATTTTATCATCGAATATTTGTGCTGCCTCTTCGGCAAGTATATTATTACTGTGTCTTTGCCATTCAGACTTTGATCTTTCCAGCCTAGCTTCATTTGATGGCCGCCCTAACTTTTCGGATTTTAAAATTTCCGGAGGCATTGTGTTTATTCTAGAAATAATCGCATCGGCACTCCCTACAAATTGTAAAATCATGCAATTATGCAACTTCATCAAATTAACCGCAAAAACTAATACACTGACATAATCATACGATGTTTACTTTTCTTTCAACTTCATTTCCTAGTAATACTATTTTTTCATTTATCTTTATAAAAATCGAAGAAATTCACCTGAAGAGTCGCTGCCACCATTGGAAAGTGGAGGAACAGCAGCTCCATTTCCGCTACTATCAACAGTGGTAGAATAAACTTCCGAAGGATTATCCTTGTCGAACTTCACGGAAACTTCACTGGAACTCGAGGACGAACCAACGACGTCAACCTTCGGTAGTGATGGTGCCGCCGCCATCAGTAATCCCGCTGGCTCCGGCTAGCTGAGCCGTTGATTCAGATCTAAAAAGCTTGTATGTATAATTTTTCGTGAAGAGAGAAAATGTATGTAGGGAGAAAAAGTGTGGGATCACGTTCGAGAAGATGGGGGAAGTGCGTGAGATTTTCGGTGGAAATGGATTTTTGGGCAAAAGATAACCGCGAAGGGACACGCTGAGAGAAACCCGTCCAATGATCGTCGCGGATTGGTTTGGTAAATGGTTGTCAAATAATTTCTACATGGAAATAGATAAATTTTGATTTTTGTCATTGGTAAAAATGTAAAATAAGAGTTGTTGACATATAACTTTTTGCCTTTTAATAAAAAAATTAAGAAAACGCGTTTGGCTAAGCTTATAGTCCACGTTTGATTTAGTTAAAAAGTTATATTAAAATTTAAGTCAAAATTAATCGTCAATTTTAATTATATATTTTATGGGATCAACAACTTTCAAACTATACGTTCTATCAGCTTTTATTAAAATTTTCTAAAATTTTAATTTTTATTTAAATCAAACAGGACATAAAGTTTATTTCTTTAAGATAAAAAAAATTTTAAAAAATTATGTCAAGATTTAGAAATAAATTAATTACTTACTTTATAGTAATTTAAGATTTTTTTAATAGAATAATTTTTTTATTAAAAATTAGAAAATAATACATATTTCAACGTATTAAAAAAAAATAAAAATTACTATTCAAAACATTATTTCTTCCAAATAATGACCATCAAACAGAAGTTTAGTGGTTACAACAATAATGTTTAGAATAATATTATTTAACAAAGTTGATGTTAGAATATCAGTTAATGTGCCACTAATGAACTTAAATGAAAGGTAGAATCACTTAACTCATTTAATTGTTACTATTTAGACTAGTAATGCTAAATAATATTACTCTAATAGATAGCGTTATTTTTTCAATGGTTAGCTAATAATATGTTTGTTAAATCATATTAGGGTGGTTATATTGTCATCACAGTTTTTATTTGATACACTACATTTTAATTATACTAAAGTTCTCCTATCTTTGCTCATTGTAGCAATTATTTTTTTAACTTTTTCGTAGAATTCTTATCATCAATTGATACACTACATTAAGTATGGCTCTTTTTTACGATAATTTATATCAAATTATTATATTTTCATATTTTATATAATTTCAACATATTTTTTGATGTAAAATTGTTATCAAATACGAAGTGTATTAACTAATGAAAACTTTGAGGATGAGAATGACATGAAACATCGTTAGAAGTATAAGTGGTACGATGAGTAAAGACTAAGAATCTCAAATATATTAAAAAGTAGTACAAGAAATAAAAATTGTTTTGTGAATATAATTAGGGTTGGGCAAAATGTCCGAATCGAACCGAATCGAATCGAATCGAGCGAGTTTTTTTAAATGAAATACCCGAACGGGTATCCGAATCGAGAACCGAATGGTTTGGTTCGGTTCTCGGTTCTAGACCCAGAACCGAAGAACCGAATAAAAACCGAATTTTTTTTTATATTGAATAAATCAATTTCTTTTATTTTTT